AAACCAAAAAAATGTATATTAGTAAGGTGGCTACGCGAAAAAAAGTACCCAGCTACGCGTCAGTTGTCCAAAAAAAGGGGTATTCTATAGTTGTACCAGGTAAAAAAAAAAACATTACAATCGTATTGCCTCATACATTACTAGATTTATTACATCAGAAATACTAAAAAAACCTAACTGGTGTACAACAGTTCCCAAAAAAAACCTCCCCCGCAAGATTTCAAGTTTCAAAAAAATTCGCTGGAGGTCAGGACCTTGGAAAAAAAAAGCAATAGTTCTTGCAGGGGGAGGGGAAAAAAAAAGCTGCATTCCGTTCTACTTATCAAAAAAAACATATAATCTATTTTCAACTACATTAAAAAAATTTGGTAAAACATTTCCTCTTCCTCAAAAAAATCGATTTTCCCTACAGAGGAAGGGGAAAAAAAAAGCTGTAGACAGTTCTATTTACTAATTGAAAGTGTCATGATCTATTTCGTGCTTATAAAAAAATTTTGTTCATGTGGTTGTTCATCGTTGCTTTGTTTTATTCAAGCTTCTTTCTCTTCTTTAGGGTAACAATAACCCCGTCACGTGGTCTGAAAAAAASTCTGTCAAKAATCTCTTTAGTCTGAAAAAAAACGGCTTTGAAGTGAAAGGTTTGAAAAAAAAAAGACAGAAGTACCTTTGCCTCAATCAAAAAAAACAAAAACTTAAGATTAAACAGTTAAAAAAAAACTACAGTCTAAATTATACTTGATAAAAAAAATCTGTGATTTAGCGTTTAGTATACCAAAAAAATTTTTACATCATGCACCATATACACAAAAAAATGTAGGATATGTCTGGGACAAGATTAAAAAAAGTTTCCCTAGATACGGTACCCACAAAAAAAAACAAGTCAGATAAGTGACGTAAAAGCAAAAAAAGTCTTATTTCTTGGTAAAGAACAATAAAGGAATTCAGAGTGTGATTAGCAATTAAAAAAAAAAAGTTTCTATTCTTTTTTACCTGAGCAAAATGCTGACCAATGCAATTACGAGGTCCAAGAGAAAATGGAAAGTAGGTGTAGTGAGACCTGTAAAAAAATACAATCAATGGTTACCTCYTACGCAAAAAAAACTAAATTTTGCCCTTTTAGGATCCAAAAAAAATCTCTTGGCTGAGCGGGAGGTTTGAGCCCATTTTATATTTCTGCTGGGTTACATTTAAAAAAATCATACTGAAGAGGACAGGAAACCCATTCCCAAAAGTAGAAAAAAGAGCGCACAAAGAGGAAAGACGAGAAACACCTAGTACATCACATAAAAAAAACATGACTTATAATAAAGCCTATTCAAAAAAATAGTAGTAGATAACCATACCAAAGAAAAAAAACAATGTTGAAACCCAAGACCTATGAAAAAAAACATTTTACGATTTACCTTCTTCAAAAAAAAAACAGCCTTTGCATCAAAGCGAGACATAAGCTGAGCTTGCAATGACAGAAACCTGTGAAAAAAAAACACTACAGACTCAACTCCTGTCTCGAAAAAAAGCAAAGGCTTGGTTACTTTTCAAGAAAAAAAATGGAACTGTAAAATGGAGTATTGATAAAAAAATGACTTGACGAAAATTCAAAATATCAAAAAAAGAATTGCTCGATATCTATGTCCCTTAAAAAAAATAATTCTTTTAAGGTGATAAACAAAAAAAAAAGAGAAACAAGATACCTTTTCTCAGCTTCTTCTTGCTCAAATCTCAAAGGATTAAATAAAAAAAGGTTTTTCCAGTAATCAGGGTGCCTAAAAAAAACGAATGAACTAAACTAAAATAAAAAAAAAAAACAGATTTATTATAGAGACACTATGAAAAAAACTATGAAAGTGTGCTTTGTTGTAGAAAAAAAAATTCATGTACAATGCAAAAAAGAGCAAAAAAAATCGGCGTGTGGATCGGCGTGACCCAAAAAAACTAGGGGTTCCCTGTGCTTGCCTATAAAAAAACATTTGGTGGAGATGCCTGAAATGCAAAAAAATGTGATTCCGTATGTCTACGGGTTCAAAAAAATTGGGGGAGTTGCCTGAAATACTGAAAAAAAAGGTCCAATATGGG